GCAGTAGGATGCCCGCCAACCTCCACCGCTGGCGAGAAGATTCAGGAAGCTTGAGAGATGGTAATGGCGAACCGGTTAGTTATTATCGATGAGGTAGTCTGGTCTCTGCACTTTCGGATCATTGCTTTTTGTTCCATCTAAACGGTCTCGATAACTCCTGCTTAACATCTTTACAAAGAATACTGCATCTTCATTTCTCACTTCTTCCCTTGTATTCGACAAAATGCAGTAGCCTTATTAAATCGCCATTTCAGTGTCTTATGACATGTTATCCGTACTTTCGCGATGATATATAATCACACTGCCTTCTGTTTATGCGTACTTGTAGTTGGTACTCTTGTGGTCGCATGATCGAAGTTTGAGCTTGATCGCGCCAATTTCCTTGAAGCTGTTACAATGTAAGTATGCCCGCTCCATGAGCCAAGGAGGAACAAAGACCAGTGACCCGAATTCTCTGGTCGGAAGATGTGCAAGGACTGAAATTTATCGGAGGCTTTTAGTACAATACGGCAACGGTGCACATCCACGTAGAAGTGTGTATAAGTGGATCGAGAAGTTTAAAAGTGGCTGAACAAGCGTGACGATCGAAGAAGGAGTAGGACGCCCGTCAATCTTCACCGCTGAAGATTCAGCAAGTTCGAGAGATGGTGAGGGCGAACCGACGAGTTATTTTCGATGAGGTAGCATGCTCTCTGCACTTTCGGATAACTGCTCTTTGTTCCACATTGGGGGAACACTGCTAGCGGAACGTCCACGCTAACACTGTAACAGCAGCAAGAAAACTGGAGCGACAAAGCTCAAACTCCGATCACGTGACCATAATAGTACCAACTATAAGCACGCATGAGAAGAAAGCAGTGTGACAAAGATATGTTATGGCAAAAGTGCGGATAATTTTTACTTACCTCTGTATATATGCTTGTGTCTGTGTGCGTGTGTGCGTGTGTGTATGTGTCCGTGCGTGTGTGTCCGTGTGTTCACGTATGTGTGTGCGTGTGTGTATGGGTGTGTGTGTATGTCTGCATGTGTGTGTGCGTATCTGTATGTTTGTGTATGTGTGAGTGTGTGTGTGTGTGTATGCGTGCGTGCGTGCGTGCGTGCGTGTGTGTGTGTACGTGTGTATGTGTACGCGTGCTTGTATCTATATTAAAAATCGTATTCTTTTTGGTGTGTGCTTGTTCCCAATAACCGTAATCACTGACGTCGCCGTCGACTATTTAAAACTTCCAGATTAGCAAAGAATGCCATGAGGCAAACAAAGGAATTTTTTTCTTCTACACAGGCACCTCATCGGTTCAAAACAAAACAATAAGACAACATGAACTTTGGACAGTTTATCCACAAATTCGAACACAATACTCAACAACTTATTCGAAAATTGTAAGAAAACAATAAAAATTAAACAGAGAGACCTTGTCGGTTTCTTTTAACCAAACTTGTTTGGATGAATATCTGCTGCCTAAATATACCTTATTCACACACACACACACACAAACAAACACACACACACACACACATATATATATATATATATATATATATATATATATATATATATATATATATATATATATATATATATAGCCAGGTTTGATCCTGGCTAGAGGCAACCGGACGTCTAGCAACATTGGAGGGCTGTGATGGACGAGATTACATATATATATATATATATATATATATATATATATATATATTGATTTGGTTGGATAGATGTGATTACCCTGGGATTAACAGATTGTTGACGATCGTCAGACAAACTGTGAGGGTCACAAACTCACATCTATCCATCAAATATATATATATATATATATGGTTGGATAGATGTGAGTTTGTCACATCTATCCAACTAAAATATATAATATATATATATATATATATATATGAGTAGATAGATGTGAGTTTGTGACCCTGGGTTTCACGCTGACGATCGCTAAAGCGTGAAACCCAGGGTCACAAACTCACATCTATCCAACCAAATATGTTAGATCTATCTCTGATATTGAGCGCTTTCTAATAAGTATAGCGCATATAATATATAAATATAATTATAAACATATATATTTATTTATATTTATATACACTTTTCACACATATATATATGTGTGTGTGTGTGTGTAGTTTTAATGTATTCTATATTTATGTGATAAAGCGCTCAATACCAGAGATAGAGCGTATGCAAATATAAAAGTGGACATTGAAGTTAACACCCAGTGGCGACAGTCTGTTTCATTCTAGGCAAAATCATCAGGCCATGTGTGTGAGGGTTTTTGCTTATTGGCCTTCTTCAGCTAATGATTATAACAGATTATGTTTTCTCCCCAGAAAACTCTAAATACTGTCTCCCAAGCCTATTTGCTACATAAAATCCAGTTTGGCTCTGTGGGTGTTGAAAGAATAGAGATGTGCTTGAGCAACTGTCTGCAATAGGGATTATGTAGCCAAGTATATCAGAACCGAACATTCAGTTATCATTTATATTAAAAAAGGTTTTTTTGTTACCGGATTAGTTTCCGTATCGAGGAATTATATGCAGAGCTCAACTGTTCGGAGATCAAGTTATTTCTTGCCAAAGTTCTGAACTTTCGACTGGCTTCAGTAATTGCCAAAATTTTAAAATATACCAAAGATGCAAAGTAAGACACGGATTTTCAATTTCATCTGATTTGATCCATTCTTTCTTGATAATGATTGAAGCCAATGAAAAGATCGTTACATTGACAAGGATGAATATGAACTGTCGACATTTCTTTCACATCTTCAACACCAAGCCACAAAAAACTACTACGACAAAAAAAAAAAAAAATTATTAATATATAATTTAAAGTAATATATATATATATATATATATATATATATATATATATATATATATATGGGGAAAGAGAGCTTGATATAAGGTTAATGTCTTAAACAATCATATTGATATATATATTGATATATATATCAAATCCAGAATAACCAAAGCCAGTACAGCATTCGGTAAACTTAAACATAGGTTATGGAACACCAAAGACGTGTCTCTCCGAGTAAAAATCGACATATACAGATCAGTCATTCTCTTAACTTTTCTCTATGGTGCTGAAAGTTGGATCCTGTGCCGCAAGCACATAAATCAACTTGACGCCTTTCAAATACGCTGTCTTCGTGTCATATGTGATATAAAATGGGGTGACAGGGTCAAGGATAATGTAATCCTGAAGAAACGTAACATCACAGGCATTGAAACCGTTCTAACAAAGACACACATTAGGTGGGCTGGTCATGTTGTGAGAATGGATGAGCATAGGCTTCCAAAGAAGGTGCTGTATCGACAACTACCAAACTCCCAACATTCAGTTGGACATCCACTCTTACGCTACAAAGACAAATTGAAAGACAACTTGAAACGTCTCGACTTTGATCTGAAAATCTGGGAAGCGCGAGCATCAAACCGAAAGGAATGGCATAAGACGTGTTTCATTAAGTTAAAGGTTATTGAAGACACTAGACTAAAGCACCGTGTTCATCTTCGTCAAGTTCTGAAGCAGAGACGCCATCAAAATCCTGCTTTAACAAATTTCATCTATCAGTGTGGCTTTAACGCCCACAACAAGGCTGGGCTAATATCACACTTAAGAAAACACAAAATGAATATATATATATATATATATATATATATATATATATATATATATATATATATATATATATATATATATATATATATGTATGTATGTATGTATATTAAAGACATTTTATGTTTAACGTTCTTTTTTATAGATACAAGTATTTAAGTAAATGCTCTGTTTATAATAAACAGTATTTAGTAACATTTACCGGCCTGAATGTCGAGAAATTTTCATAGAAAATATTCGTCCTTTGACAGGATTTGAACCTGCATCCTATACGGAACCGTCATTTACGCTGTCATGTGCGACGCTGAAATCCAAAGGTATCTTGGGATAGCCAAAGTTGCATTCCAAAAGCTAAGCAGAGTATTAAAAGACAGAAGAATTTCGTTAAAAACAAAGAAAAGAGTACCGAACTGTTACATGATGTCTGTTCTCCTGTATGGTAGTGAATGATGGACAATCTCTTCAAAGATGAAGAAAAGAAATATGGCCCTTCCGAAGGATACTGAGAAAACTATGCACTGAACATGCGAGATACGATGAGGTTTTAGAGAAAATGAAAACAAGCGGAAGCGACAGTTGATATTTCTCGGGCACATAATGAGGAAAGAGGGGTTGGAAAATCTGATACACGCAGGACAGATTGAGGGGAAAAGGGACAGAGGAAAACATCGTATAACATTGGTTTCAACCACAGCCTCCAGACGACTGCAGAATCTCCTGCCACTTTTCTGGACAGTCACCTTGTTTAAGATGGCAAATGCTGCCATAATCCTTGCCTTCAGTTTATCTTTGGTATTACAAAGAGTTTTATTGGTCTCTCACGCAACTGTGCCCCACACATAATGATCAAGGGAATTGCTGTCCGGGGAATTAGGTGGCCAGATGTAAGGAGTGATGTGGTCGCAGAAATTGTCTGACAGCTATGGCTGGGTTATACTGTTTGTGTGGCACGGTTCAGAGTCCTTTTGCCAGACATAGGGTATGCCAGCATCTAGCCTCTTGACACAGGGAAACACTTCCTCCTCAAGGCAGCCACCTTGTTGAGTCTGAGTAACCTCATCAACAAATTTGAGAGTTCTTCTCTTGTCAGAACGATCAGGGTTAGTTTTTCCGAATTTATGCAACTCTTTCCGATTGCTCTGCACTATCCTCAGATTGACACCCGAACAAAAAACTCTAACATATTCGTATCGAAGCTTCCGGCGCGAATGCCAAGCAGTACAGCATGTCGTTCCCAAATTTCTGTAAGAGTGAACTGCGTCATGGTGTTGTTTTTCTCCCAGACTGTGCCCAACTGACCCACTGTACTTTGCAGTCAACAAAATCAAAAACAATGCGCATGCGCGAAATTAAAAATATAAAATGGTGAGCGTTTACCCATCGCACCCTGTAGATAGATAGATAGATAGATAGATAGATAGATAGATAGATATATAAAGAGACTGTGATAGATAGATAGATAGATAGATAGATAGATAGATAGATAGATAGATAAACATAGAGTGATAGATAAATTTGAGGAGACTGAATTAGACAGATAGAAAGATAGATTTGAACAGACTGAAATAGATTTAAAGGGACTGAGATAGATAGATAGATAGATAGATAGATAGATAGATAGAATACTATTCTATTAATAAATATTATTTCGTTATTGGCTCATTCTAATATGTGAATATGTGCGCATGCGTCTGTGTGAATGTAACATATTTCTAAAGGAAAAATATGAATCGATCGAGTATTTATTTTTTACACTGGAATTCAAATGTAGATAGACGTTTGCTTTTTTTTAATGTGTTTTATTGGATAATTGATGGGCTTATTGTTTCCAAAAGAAAAGATTCTGTTTCCGGTGACATGGAGCCATTGAAAGAGTGCATCGCTGAAGCCCCACATTACGACAGGAAAAAAATCGCAAATTTGCTTGATTAAATTTCAGTTTTGGGTTTTTTTTTTATTTAGTATATATGCATATCAACATAACATTAACACGTTTTAACAATTTCAACGATTGCAAAATACGAGAAAATAAACAGTCGATCAGAATACTCCTAGAAGATGACGCTTAAGGCAAGTCGTCATTAGAATTAAAGTCCTTAATGTAAAGATAAAGAACGTTAACAGTGGCAAATAAAACTAAGAGGCGTCCGGTTCACGTTCCTTCCTGGTTTTTGAACAGCAGTAAAGGTTTCTCCCCTTGTTTCCTTTTTTAGGATTGGGCTTCTGGTTCCTTCTAAAGTCTACTTCATCTCCAGACTTCTAACGCGTCCGCTTAAACTCTGAAAATTTTGTTTACAACTAGCAGCATAAGCCGGCGTTGCCCGTGCTTGATTCAAAAATCGTCCGACTCATACAGCAATCGCTATCACTTGACTTAAAATATTTTTGCCTTTCCTTGCCTTTAAAGGAGTACCCTTTGCCGTGCTGATGTTGCTACATGTCTTACTTCTTGCCTATCTCACACTGCGAATTTTTTCTAAGCTCTATACTAAACATTAAATCTGTTACGAAAAAAGAACTAAACAAAATGAACACAAAACGATCAGCTTTAAAAAAGGACTCGTAACTGGAAAAACCGAATGAAAAAAGAATGTTAACAACAAATACTTTTTCACATCCAACCCAGTTCTGCAGAATCAGAATCAACGTTGAGTTTGAGCAAGCGAATGAGCCAATTGGAGTAAAATGCCATGCAGATTTAAATTTCTTCCACTTGTGACGAATGCAGCTATCGATTTTTTTTGCATGCTAGTATGCTAGTTGACATTCATGTCAGTCAGCTGTTGGCTCTCACGCTGGCCAATAGAATCTTCCTGCCTATTCTTGGCAGCCAGCTAAAGGCTCTCACTCTGGCCAGTAGAAAATGGCCGCAAACTACATGAAAACTGCCGTAGAAGCATGAAAAAATCGATTATTTTCACTATCGATGGGAGTTGGGAAATGCAAAGTCGGTCTTGGCCTTTGCACTAACTTGGAGCATGTGCATGTAAATTTTGGTGCAAATCCGTCGAAAATTGCGGCCGTGCATTCGTTACACACACACACACACACATCCTGCCTTTTATAGATAGAGATTTATTTATTTCCTTCGGTAGGTTTGCATTATTGCCCGATCCACACTCTTCATCGCACATTTGAACAGGTGTAGATGCTTATCCTTTGTTTCCTTTTTAGGATTGGATTTTCGGTTCCTTCCAAAATCTACTTCAACTCCATACTTCATAAGTTTCAAATTTTATTTACTATTCATTTATTTTTATGTATTTATTTATTTCCTTAAGTAGGAGTAGATAGGTTCACTTATCGCCCGGTTCACACTTCTCCCCGGTCTTTTGAACTGGATTATGAACAGGTATTGTTGCTAACAGCAGTATGAACAGGTAATGTTGCTAACAGGAGTATGAATAGGTATTGTTGCTAACAGTAGTATGAACAGGTATTGTTGCTAACAGGAGTATGAATAAGTATTGTTGCTAACAGGAGTATGAATAGGTATTGTTGTTAACAGGAATATGAAGAGGTATTGTTGCTAAAAGGAGTATGTAAAGGTATTGTTGCCAATAGGAATATGAATAGGCATTGTTGCTAACAGAAATATGAACAGGTATTGTTGTTAACAAGAGTATGAATAGGTATTGTTGCTAACAGGAGTATGAACAGGTATTGTTGCTAACGGGAGTATGAACAGGTATTGTTGTTAACAAGAGTATGAATAGGTATTGTTGCTAACACGAGTATGAACAGGTAGTGTTGCTAATAGGAATATGAAAAGGTATTGTCGCTAATGGGTGTATGAACAGGTATTGTTGTTAACAAGAGTATGAATAGGTATTTTTGCTAACAGATGTATGAACAGGTATTTTTGGTAATCCCGTGATTCCTTTTTAGGATTGGGTTTCCAGTTTCTTTAGAAGTCTTCTGATTCTCTTTCAATCCCAAGAGCCACTTGCATCTTGGTGGCATTATCATTTTGATTCGGATGAATTGATTAAAAAGAAATATCTGTCCCTATTCAAACACATTTTATCAAAAAAAAAATGTACCCACCTACTTTTTGTACATATTGTCAGTATCTCACTATAGTAGATATTTACTTGACCCCTCACTGAGTCAAGTTGTGACACAAGGTCAGTTTTTAACATGGGGACATTATCTCACTATAGTAGCGTGTATTCGTTGGTGTTTGTCAGTGTTTGTGTTTATTTACGAAGAGGTGCTGAAAATTTCTCGAGAGACTCCTCAAATAAGGTTAAAATGACTAAATATTTTTTTAAGGACTTTGGTAAGGCTGCTAACTTTTCAGCAACCCTTTATGGTTTATGCATATATAGACGAATGCAATACTTGTGTATGCATGTGCGTATGTGTGTGTGTGTATATTTGTGCTAAAAAAAACAATATTTCTTGTGCATGGGCGTGTTATTTTCTATAGACAGGCAATGCATGAGTATTTTTTTTTCGTGTCGTATAATCGCACCTGCCTTAATCCAGTCTTTCGCTTCCTTAATCTGTTTGCATTTCGATCTGTCAACAAAAACAACAGATGATCAGTCCATTATTCAATCATCGTATCGATCTTTTCTGGATCCATTCGTTCCCTAATCGATATCTTTTATTATTGATAGCAACGAAAATGTCACACTGTCGACAGTAGCCGTATCTAACTTAAAGTAGCAGCCTCGACGGACGTTGTTGTGAGTCGCGTAAATAAAAGACACTATAACCGCATTATCGCAATAGCAAGAAAACTACTACGATTACCAACATTATGTTTAATTCAGGTACAAACCTGCGGAAATACTAATTGTATTGATACTATAGATGCGCAAATACTAACTCTATTAGTACGCAGAACGCAACGGTAAACGTTTTATAAAAAAGCTTTGTCACTTTTTTAAACTTCACATCTGATGATTTTCATTTAGGATATAATAATCAAAATTATAATAATAATAATAACTCCACCCATTCCCTGTTACGGAGATCGGACCTGTAACAATTTTATGGGACTACACAAGACACACAGACAGAACGATCAAAGAAAATCGCCAAGACATTGTTATTAGAAACCGCAAACAAAATAATGCCACCAAATTGATATGGCAGTCCCTGCACTGTACCTTTGAAGATCTTCAAAAAGCTATCAAAATACAAAAGGACCTTAAAATCGAAATCTCAAAAATGTAGCACATGGGAACATCAACAATCCGTATTGTAGTTGGAGCCCTCAGATTGGTTAAAAAAGATTCCAGTAGACTTATTGAAGGGATTCCTGGAAACCCATGCCTTAAAAAAAAATGCGAAAAATTGTTCTCACGAATAGAGCCCACATATTACGAAGGGCTTTAGCTATGTAAAATATGTGTTATTGTTTTTTTTTAATGGTTAGTGGAAAATGACATGATGCCGTTTCTGACCTTAGGTCTCTGGACGGGACCTGGGAAGAAATGCGTACACTCTAGAAATCAAAGGAAATAAAATAATAATAATAATTGATTGATTGATTAAATTGATTGGAAATTATACCGATAGACTCACTGAAAGGATTCCTGGTAGTCCATGCCTCAAAGTTATACAAAAATTGGACTCACAATTACAGCTCACACATTACGAAGAGATTTATCTATGTAAAATTTGTGTTACATTAGATTTTTTTTTTTACAAAAATGATCAGTGGAAAATTTCATAAAGCCATTTCTGATTTTAGGTCCCTTATGAGGACCAGGATGGAAACGTGTATACAACAGAAATCAAAGGAAATTCGTATTCGTTGACATTACAAAAGTGGAAACGAGTGTTCGTTGATATCACAAAAGTCACACACACACACACACACACACACACACACACACACACACACACACACACACACACACATATATATATATATATATATATATATATATATATATATATATATGTATATATATGTATATGGTGTATGAAAAATACTTTGGGGTGGGTTCCTCACACCAAGACAACGACAAAAGTTCGTATAAACATATCTGTAAATCCTTTGTTTTTGAGTTATTAAGTTTAAAGTTTACTGTAGACGCTGTTAAGTGTACAATCCAAGATACAATCCAAAAATACTTATTACCATAGATTGTGGTGCCACGCATCCTGTCTCAGCAATGCGACGATAAACAACAGCACAATTTAAATGACTCGGTTGCCTTCGGTCTGGTAGCGCAATCTGATACATCCGTGCAGCCTCGCGTCCATTAACATTCGAGCGGTAGTCATATCGGCCTGCGCACGATATGAATATTATTAATAAAGGAATAACTTTATATGAACTTTTTTCTTTGTTTTGGTGTGGGAACACGCCTACAAAGTCAGTAAAATTATCTTTGATACACCCTTTATATATCTGTCTATATTTCTGAGATGAGGTATTATGTACATTATTTACATTATTCGGACTATTGTCCTCATCTTTGTCGCCATATTTATTACAACGTTTCGGCCTTTCAGTATCTGTCTATATTTCTGAGATGAGGTATTATGTACACTATTTACATTATTCGGACTATTGTCCTCATCTTTGTCACCATATTTATTACAACGTTTCGGCCTTTCAGTATCTGTCTATATTTCTGAGATGAGGTATTATGTACACTATTTACATTATTCGGACTATTGTCCTCATCTTTGTCACCATATTTATTACAACGTTTCGGCCTTTCAGTATCTGTCTATATTTCTGAGATGAAGTATTATGTACATTATGTACATTATTCGGACTATTGTCCTCATCTTTGTTGCCATATTTATTACAATGTTTCGGCCTTTCAGTATCTGTCTATATTTCTGAGATGAAGTATTATGTACATTATGTACATTATTCGGACTATTGTCCTCATCTTTGTTGCCATATTTATTACAATGTTTCGGCCTTTCAGTATCTGTCTATATTTCTGAGATGAAGTATTATGTACATTATGTACATTATTCGGACTATTGTCCTCATCTTTGTTGCCATATTTATTACAATGTTTCGGCCTTTCAGTATCTGTCTATATTTCTGAGATGAGGTATTATGTACACTATTTGCATTATTCGGATTATTGTCGTCATCATTGTCGCCATATTTATTACAACATTTCGACCTTTCAGTATCTGTCTATATTTCTGAGATGAGGTATTATGTACATTATTTACATTATTCAGACTATTGTCGTCATCTTTGTCGCCATATTTATTAAAATATTTCGGCCTTTCAGTATCTGTCTATATTTCTGAGATGAGGTATTATGTACATTATTTACATTATTCGGACTATTGTCCTCATCTTTGTCGCCATATTTATTACAACGTTTCGGCCGTTATCTGGATGTCAGTTATCAGTTATCTCCTGTTAATTTCCCTCTGAAAGTTCTCCACTGCCTTAACCAGGTATTGAACTCACACTCTTTGGGTCCTGTCACTGGATCTAACTAAGGCCTTTATCCATTGTGCCATGTGTCCTGGGTATGAATTTCTGGGTATTATAAACCTAATATCTTCAGCAACCATTTTTACCAGTGCTCAGGAGATAACTGATAATTGACATCCATCAAACATGGCACGTGGAACTAGAACAGTCTACCCAGTGTGAGAAAATAAAGGGTCCAGTTCGATATTCCAATCACCTGAAGAAGGCCGGAGCCTACAACGGCCGAAACGTTGTGATAAATATGGCGACAAAGATGAGGACAATAGTCAGAATAATGTAAATAATGCCCTTTAGATATATATATATATATATATATATATATATATATATATATATATATATATATATAAAGCATGTATACGTATATTCTTTGAAGAATATCCTAATCATCAGGAAATAAAAATACATGATTTTTTTGTTTTTTTGTTGACTGTTAGATTTGATTTGTTTTTTGTGGTTAAGCAACATATTGCAGGTTATTTAAACCCAGAAAATATTTTTAGATTGTAAGGTAAGTTTTTGAGATAACAATGGGTTTAGTGATACGAGTCTTACTAATTAACCCATATCTGGGGGATATGGAGAAAAATGTATCCATATCTTTAAATACGGTATTTGCGTGTAAATGAATTTCACGAACACAACTGTAATTGGAACTCGGCTCTCTTCCGAGCTATTATCCAATACACCAACCGCACATCCAAGCTTACAGCACAAATGGTCACCAAACTAGATACTGACCAGGCTCGACATTGCTTAAATTCGGTGTTCGTTTTCTACGGCTTATCAAGCCATGGCCTGTTATTTAAAGTCAGGAAATATTTTTAGATTGTAATTTTTTTTTTTGAGATAATAATCATTTAGCGATACAAGTCTTACTAATTAACCCATAGATGTGGGGGGGGAGAAGAAGTGTATCCATACCATTCCCAAGGATATGTCAATTTAACGAACCCAACTGGAATTGGAACTCGGCTCTCTGATTAACAATTCCGAGCCATATCTATTACATCACTCGCATATCCATGCTAACAGCATCCATCTAGTGGCCAGGCTCGGCCTTGCTTAACTTTGGTGATCGTACAGAAACAACGTATACTAACGGGTTTAGCTATACTGACAAGTATGTTTTCATGAAGTATAATATTAAAGACGTTTACCATTCCATATCAGAATGGATGTCTGACGAGTCTATAAAATTTGCCAAGGAATGGATGAAAGTGAAAAGGGAACATATTGACATTATTAAGCATTGTCGCAAATCAGTGCTGTGTCATAATGACTGTGCACGACAAAAAAGAAAGGCTAACGATGGTGATTTTGATGTCCCCAAGGGATTTTTTGATGGAGCGTATGTCAGATACTTGTTAGTCTATATATACTAAAAGAAAAAAATAATTGATCATCATGATCCGTAGATGATAGGAGAAAATGTGACATAATTCGTGAAATACATCTGTTTGATGCTTTGACGCACATCATTAGTGATGGTTTTAGCCAAGGTTCATTAGGGATTTCGGACCTTTCAACATCGTACCGCGTCTCCACGGTGACCCAGCAGATACTGATCGGGTATCGACTTGTATGCCATCCGTCAGCTACAACATTCCTCGTTTTCAATCCCACACTGCGATTCCTCTTGGCAATTTCTTGTCCAATCGCGGATAACTTCCATTTTCACCATCAATCTACGTTCTTCCATAAAAAAAGGAAACACACGCAGAAACGGTTTTCGATTTGTTAAGGAATATGGCGACGCGCTCGGCTTGAAATGGTAAGTAACGATTTTTTTTCTCCTCTCTGGGATATATCCCTGCACACACAAGCAAATACACACATAAAAAGGATTCTACTCACTCTCATCTTATTTTTATTCATGTTAATTATCCAATCAATAAAATAAATAAATAATAAATTAAAAAAAATAAGACCCTCCCCATGTCTCCATTGAGCATGTATACAAAACAAAACATAACCATAATAAGGGAGCAGACAGATGCCAGATGTTAGCCACAGATAGCCCATATGTAACAATGATTCGAGGTACCCTAATTCTGTACCCTAGTCAAGACTCCATTGTCGGGGGTAGTTTTAGGTCATACCCAAGATCTTTAAGAAAAAAGAATCCAACATTAATGAGATGAATTTAAAGGTTATTGAATACCTCGACCTCAGGAGTAAAAATGTCTCTCTTTATAGAATGTCTATCTGGAATTTATTATATGCTAATGAAAAATGTAACCATCCAAGAGAAGTTACCAAACAAATACCAAGAAGAATTGAAAATTTACTATCTAAGAATTTAGGAAACCTCGGCGTGGTGTAATGGTTAACAAGCTTGACTCGCTAGATCAGTTACGACTGAAAAGTGAGTTAGATCCTCACTGGGTGCCTCACACTTTCGGCTTTGTCTCACATCTAAGCTACGCTTAGAAAATTAGGATACTAAGATATTCCTCGAATAAAAAAAATGTTTAACAAAATTAAAGAACAGGAGAAAACATTTAATAAAGATATAAAGACAAATTGAATTTTAGAAATGTTGAACCGTTATAGGTTGGAATGAAAAGAAAATGGCAAAAGAAAAAGAAATTTAAAATGGTTCAATCCCCATATAAACAGAAAAGAGGGGGCAAAATGATAAACAGAAAAGAGGGAACAAAATAATAAACTGAAAAGAGGGGGCAAAATGATAAACAGAAAAGAGGGAGCAAAATGATAAACAGAAAAGAGGTGGAAAAATGATAAACAGAAAAGAGGGAGCAAAATGATAAACACAAAAGAGGGGTCAAAATGATTAACAGAAAAGAGGGAGCAAAATGATAAACACAAAAGAGGGGGCAAAATGATTAACACAAAAGAGGGAGCAAAATGATAAACACAAAAGAGGGGGCAAAATGATAAACAGAAAAGAGGAAACAAAATAATAAACTGAAAAGTGGGGGCAAAATGATAAACAGAGAAGTGGGAGCAAAATAATAAACAGAAAAGAGGGAGCAAAATGATAAACAGAAAAGAGGTGGCAAAATTATAAACAGAAAAGTGGGAGCAAAATGATAAACAGAAAAGAGGGAGTAAAATAGTAAACAGAAAAAAGGGAGCAAAATGATAAACACAAAAAGGAGGCAAAATGATAAACAGAAAAGAGGTGGCGAAATGATAAACCGAAAAGAAGTTGCAAAATTGTAAACAGAAAAGAGGGAGCAAAATGATAAACAGAGAAGAGGGAGCAAAATAGTAAACAGAAAAAAGGGAGCAAAATGATAAACACAAAAAAGGAGGCAAAATGATAAACAGAGAAGTGGGAGCAAAATGATAAACAGAAAAGAGGGAGCAAAATGATAAACAGAAAAGATGGAGCAAAATGATAAACAGAAAAGTGGTGGCAAAATTTTGAACAGAAAAGAGGGAGCAAAATGATAAACAGAAAAGAGGGAGCAAAATGATAAACAGAAAAGCGGAGGCAAAATGATAAACAGAGAAGTGGAAGCAAAATAATAAAAAGAAAAGAATTGAGAAAAATGATAAACAGAAAAGAGAGGCAAACCCATAGATACTGCGAATTTTCCTCTTAACTGAAAACTTCATTTATAGGGCCACGATACGGTTTGATAGGCAACTACAGCCAAAATATATTGGTTCTACAGAAGGAACATTCAAAAGAATATTTCAAAATCTAAAAATAGCACCTGCCTTGCGAACTATGTGTGAAAAACCGGAGATAAAAGCGGGAAATTCCTACTATAATGAAAATGGTTTACAGTTAGGAAGCAAGGTTTGCTAACCATGCCAGTAGGAAAAGATAGTGATAGTAATTTATCTAAGTCAAGGAATGTTGCTAAATGGAAAATCCGAAGTGATAACAGCGTGGTAAACAAGGAAAAAAAATCCACCAGTGAAAATTTTGAACCAGGGTTGCTCTTGTTTCATTGTAATATACAATACTTTTTTTCCATCAACGATGGCAGATATATCAGCCTGTATATATATATATATATATATATATATATATATTATGCCTCTTGAGACCTTGGGGAATATAGGGCCGCCACACCTTCTCTCCAACGGACGCGGTTCCGGGCGTTCCTCTTCAGTTCGGCCCATGTCATACCGGCTGCCTTCACCTCTACGTCAACTCTTCTGCGCCAAGTTTATTTTGGTCGACCCACTTTTCGCTTCCCTTATTGATTCCACTCAAGACCCTGCCTGGTGAAACTAGAAGCAGGCTTCCGGAGTGTATTGTCGATTCATACCAATTTCAATTTCTTGATTAGGGTTTGTGTGGTTTTGTCCAATGATTGATCGCTGGAGACGAATTCCGTCTACCTGATATTGAGAATGTTCCTGAGACATCGGTTGGTAAATGCGTAAAGTTTGTTGGTGTTTGTATTGCTTAACTGCCAGTTTTCTGAGCCGTAACGTAGGACCGACTTGACGTTGGTGTTGAAGATCCGGATCTTGTTGTAAAGTGAGGCGGGCTATGGATCTCCAGATTGGCCGCAGAGTGTTGAAAGCGTGTCGTGTTTTGTTGATTCGGCACTTGATGTCTTCATCGGTCCACCCATTTTACTGACGACACTTCCCAGGCAGATAAACTTTACATTACATTATTTTACATTAGCTAAACTCATAATTTCAGGACTGAAAGAGTACTACTATTACTATTACTACTACTACTACTAATAATAATAATAATAATAATAATAATAATAATATGCCTCTTTATTCCTTGAGGAACATACCCCACTCCAGCGGACGCAGTTCCGGGAGATCCTCCTCATCTCGGCTCATTTCGATTGGTGCTTGTTTGGTCCTTCCGACCACCTGATATTGAGGATGTTCCTGAGACATCGGTTGGCAAATCTCTGAATTTTGTGGGTGTTTGTCTTGGTTACCTGCCAGGTTTCTGAGCCGTAAAGTAGGAGCGACTTGATGTTGGTGTTGAAGATCCGGATCTTGTAAAGTGAGGAGGGCTATAGAATGAAAATCCTCGTCAACATTGAAAAGTACAATGAAAGCTACTGGGCTTGAGATATCTATTTTTCAGGATATTTATTATTATTTATTATTATGCCTCTTGATTCCTTCAGGAACACAGAGCAGCAACAACCCCCCCCCCTCCAGCGGACGCAGTTCCGAGAGATCCTCGGCTAATTTAGTGCCGGCTGCCTTCACCTCTGCTTCAACACTTCCGCGCCAAGTCTGTTTTGGTCAACCCACTTTTCGCTTCCCTTATGGATTCAAGTCAAGGGCCTGTCCGATGATACTAGAAGCAGGGTTGCGGAGTGTATGTCTGATCCATCCCTATTACCGTTTCTTGATGCCAATCTCGATTGGTGCTTGTCTGGTCCTGTATTACATTTGGCCATTGGAAACGACTTTCCTTGTGGATTCCAGTCAAGGGCCTGCCTAGTGACACTAGAACCAGGCTTGCGGAGTGTGTGGCCGATTCATCCCATTTCCGTTTCTTGATGTCAATCTCGATTAGGTCTTGTCTGGTCCTGTCCCACAGTTGATCATTGGAAACGACTTTCCTTGTGGATTCCAGTGAAGGTCCTGCCTAGTGACACTAGAATCAGGCTTGCGAAGTGTGTGGCTGATCCATCCCATTTCCGTTCCTTGATTTCAATCTCGATTTGGGATTGTTTGGTCCTGTCCAACAGTTCCTGAGACATCGGTTGGTAAATGTCTCATGTTTGTGGGTTTTGGTTTTGGTCTTGGTTACCCGCCAGGGTTCTGAGCCGAAAAGTAGGAGGTACTTGACGTTGGTGCTGAAGATCCTGATGAATCATCACCAACGTTATAATTTCTTATAACACCAGTTTGTTATAAGAAACAGAAAAAGAATAAATCGTACCTTTTTACTGTTTGATGATCCACAGGGAGGCCGCGGTAAGATAAAGGTTTTGAGTTTTTTTACTAACTATATTTTAGACATATGTATGACAAGCTTAAAAGCTACCTTATTGGGCGGAATTTGAGCTAGTTCCTGCGGAGGGCACTTGACTAAGCCTTCACCACAATAGGTAGGGAGGAGTAGACGCGACAGGAAACAATAAACGAAAGAACTCAACATTGATCTCAGCATTTAAATATTACATTAATATTTAAGCTTAACTTTTAAAATTTCAACGATAATTCTTCTGCCGCCACTTAATTTAAAGACAATCTGATGTACGTAGGTCCTTATTTTCCGTATAAATAATTATTTTTATTTCATGGATGACTTTCGCTGGGTTTAGCAATCAATTTC